TGGCTTTGAACTGTGGTCCTTAGATCTCAGCCTCCTGAGTAGCTAGGATGACAGGCGGGAGCCACTGTGCCCAGTCATAATGAACATCTTCTTTTCAGCCTAAAGGAACTACTTTCAGTTCTCTCAACCGTCTTCCGTGTTCGTTTCGTGGGTCTCCTTCCACCACGAGGGCACCGTTAACGGGTGCAGCTCTCTCTTGCTTCTTTCTTCCCCTCTACATCTTCACTGGTGTCTTTGTCACATTCACAGCTTCCTTTTTTTCTTAATTTTTTTTCCCTGAGTGCGACTTTGTGTGTGTGTGTGTGTTTGTGTGTGGATGTGTATGAGAGAGAGAGGATGTGTGTGTGTGCACATGCGTGTGCACGTGTGTGCTGGCATGGGGCTTGAACTCAGGGCCTGGCACTATCTCGAGCTTTTTCACTCAAGCCTGCTGCTCTTCTACTAATTTTTTGCTAGCTAATTGGATAAGTCTTACAGAGGTTTCTGCACAGGCTGGCTTCGAACTATAATCCTCAGATCTTAGCTTCCTGAGTAGCTAAGATTACAGACTTGAACCACTGGCTCCTAGCTGAAGTGACCTCTTTTAAGGACACATCCAAAGTCATTTATTTTCCTGTTTGTTTCCAGCTGATCTGATCCTTTTAAAGAGAAAAATTGGTTGGCATTTATAAAAGATTTGTGCAAAGTATGGCAAATTTTACTTTCATAGAATAGACCTTTTCTTTTTTTTCTTCTCTAGATAAGTATTGTCTCACTGAGAGCAGGAAAACAAAACAAAGCAAAATAAATGAATGAAAGGTCTTTACTGTTTAGTCCACTAGGGTTTAAATCAATGTTTAAAAATACAGTCTGAGGTACATCTGAAATCCCTTGTTCTGTTTTGGAATCTCAGCCACTCTCCATTTCCCCTTCTTCTCCTCCTGTGGGAACAGGACACTGGACCAATTAAATGCCTGCTCTCACATTATTACTAAATGGTAAATGCGAGGTCGTGCAGGTCTGGCCCTGCTAGTGCTCCCTTCCATGGCTGGAGTAACCCATCCTCTCCTTCTCTTATTCTAGTCGGTCCTGCTGGACGGGGCTTTTCCTGGGCTGTGTAGCTGCAGAGGAAGCTGACTGTGGTTGGGTCACATCTTCTATCTGCTTCTTGGCCTGGGAAGCCAACACCCCAATCTCTGCAGCCAGAATTCCTTTCGTTAGGAACCCAGAGCAGCGTTGTAAGTGTTGGTTCCTTTCCCTCTCTGCCCCCACATTGAGAGCAGAGTCGTCTTTCCTTGTGTCCATCCATGCAGGAGAGCAGAAGAGGGGATCCTGTGTCCCAGAGTCCTTGTCCCCCGCCCATTCACGTGGTTTGCTCTCTTGAACATTTAGGACGAAGCCCTGTGTTCGCACAGGGGCGTCCTGAGGGCGACCCCGCAGACACACAGGAGACAGGACGTTCACCTGCCATCCACCATGAGCGTCAGATCCCTCGTGTCTCCACACCTGCCCTCTCGCTCAGCTTTCTTTGTCTACCTCTGGTTCGAGCTTCAAGATGCCAAATGTATCCATTATGTAAATGTTCTAGAATGTTGCCAACCTGTTATAACCCAATAGTGGAAAGATCAAAGGGAAATAATTCAGCATATCATGTGTCCTCAAACCTAATTGTGTTTCCCCTTTCCTCCTGCACTGGAATAATCAATATCAAAGCTTCATCTCTAATAGAAAGATTTATGGAAGAAACTATTTCACATAATTAAGTTGCCTTATTTGATAGTTATAAAACAGTTACCTTTATTACAACCTTTTACGTGTAATCACCAACAGATCGGAGTCCTCTTCTCCCGTCTTTCATCTTCTGTACTGTTCATTACACCTTCTCAGTCATTTTTTACTGCTTTTATCTCCATTTTCTTTACAAATTTCTCAAATTTGAGGCCAGTGATGTTGTGTGGCACTGTGGAATGACTATGCTATTTAAAAAGTGCCACATCGGCCAAGGACATGCTGACGTGTCCTCCGCGACACCATCTCCTGAACTTGAATTCAGCTCCGGTGCGCTGCCTTGACCTGAGATGCTCTTTGATTTCCCGTTCACTGAGAAGTCACCCGCCTGGCACTGCAGGTTTCTAGTGGTGACCCTGTCACAAACCATCCTTCATTGTCTGGTGACAGGGAGGGGACATCGTGCACGCAGGGTCATCTAATCTGCCTTCCAGCCCTGATGGAATGGCTCATTATTTTCCCCATATATGTGGTTGCTCTTCTCTTCTGGAATTAACCATATCTCCTTGTGTCATTTTTAAGTGCTTGATAGATTGTTCTTTGCAGTGTAAGGTATACAGTATGTTCACACATTCCTGTTTTTACTTGGATTGGTGAGACATTGTTCAGTGTGTGTGTGTGTGTGTGTTTGTGTGTGTGTGTGTGTGTGTGTGTGATATGTGCTGGCACTAGGGCTTAAATAAATCCAGGCACTATCTCTCTTTGGTTTTGTTTGTTCGTTTTGTTTTGCTCAAGGCTGGTACTTTACCACTTGAGCTATATTTCTCCTTCCAGCTTTTTATTGGTGAATTGGTGATTATTGTCACATGGACTTTCCTTCCTGACTTAGCTTTGAACCATGATCCTCAGATCTCAGCTTCCTGAGAAGCGAGGATTCTATATCACTTGAAATATCCCTAGCAGACCTTTCTCTCTCCTGGGGAGCAGGAGAGAACCAAGAATATTGTTCTGAATGTCCTGAGCATTTGGCTCCTTGCAGTTCTGAGTAGGACAGAAGGTATGAGAGCCGCACTGGGCAGCCACGCCATTTGTAAGCTGTCTCTCTTCATTATACTTGTGGTATGCGAAAACCACTGTTTCTTCTTGTGCATGCTAGCCAAACCAGAAACTTCCAAACTGACCCAGAGAAAGAACCCAGCGGTAACCAGGTGAAAGCTCTACTTCTACCTATGAAAGTGAGAGTTCTGGAGCTTGTCACTAATTTCTGAATTAACAAGTATCAAACCTGTTGATTCCTGATAACAGGTATCAAACCTTAAATGACTCCTCAACACAACAGTGGAAGGAAGCTAGAGTAGCGTCACAAACTGTCTCCGAATGCTGGTTTTGCACACTTACTTACACTTAGTGAACTAGTTTTGAGAGGGTGGTTACACTTCGTATGGAATCTGGCACTGAGTGCACAGGCATCTTCCTGCAGGCCCCTTTCTGTACCACCAGGTGACAACACACACACTCACACAGAAGGTTGGCGGTCATCACACCAGATAGTCATCATTATTGTACTGAGTTGTTATTTTCCAATTATTCATTCATTCACAATACTTCACGTATGTCTCCTCTTAAAGTTTTGTGATGTCTGCTCAAAATTAAGAGTGGAATCTTTGATTAAAGAACAGTGTATGTGTGTATGTGTGTGTGCGTGTATATGCGTGTATCATGACATTAAGATGGGTACTGGTTACCACACCCATAATCCTAGGTACTCAAGAAGCTGAGACCTCAGAAACAAAGTTCAAAGCCAGCCCAGACAAACAAATACAAGGGACTCTTATCTCCAGTTTACCAGCAACATACCAAAACTAGAGGCATGTCTCAAGTGGTAGAACACCAGCCACATGCCAAAAGCTGTTTAAGATTATGAGGCCCTGAATTTAGGCCTCAGTCTTGGCACCAATAGATAAACAAAGAGCAAACAAATAAATAAATGATAGTGAAGTTGACATGGCCCTTCTGTCCAGCTGAGAAACACATTGCCCTTTGCCACAGCCTTGTCTGTGACCCTATTCTTACAGGTGCCTGGAAGCATGTGGTTCATGCGTGCATGTTTATCCTAATCAGAAAAGAACTCTAAATGAAATAGCTGTGAAAGAAATCTGAATATATGACCTTGCTGTAAGCCATCCTGTGTTAATGGAGGGATGCACTGTAATCGATGGTGGAAAGCTCTTGTCTCAGAAAATATTCCTCCTTACAGCATTAGGAGCCAATCAGGATTTATTTCTGCAACTTTATTGTACTATGTCCTAAAGATGCTTTCTGGGTTTAATGCTTGCCAGATGAATTCTCAGAACTAGAGCTGCATATGAAATGCAGCTGTGTTGCTGAGAAGCTTCCAGCGTGGGGCTGTTGACTTGTGTGGCTTGAGACCGCATCAGTATTCCACACCACCCCGCCACCGCCGCCTCATTACACAGCGCTGGGTAGACATTTAAAGATTTTTTACACATTTTAATTCAGCTGGTAACTTGATTTAAAACAACATTGATTTTTTTTTCCAATTCACTCTTGGTCATGTAGATCATGCTAAGTATCAAAATGAATTTGTAACTATCTGAGGCTGTCTGTGTAACAGGGTATTAAATTTGGGGAGTAGCTTTCTTTCCCCCATGCTAATTTCCATCAATTTGCTATTACTTTCATGTCCTCATGAGCTTTTGGCTTTGAAAAACTATTATTCGTTCTTTTCACCCTATACCCCAAATCATTAAACAATTAAATCTTTATCAAGTGGAACAGCCAAAGACTCTCTAGCAGTTGGAAATTCCCCTGTTCAACCTGTTGAGCCATCTTAGAGGAAGAATGTCAGGCCAACTTATCTTTCTGTGGTCATGACTGATGTTCTAACAATGGCCAACAGAGAGATGAGTGTGAAGGGCAAAAATCACGGACAGACTGGTAATTGTAGGCACTATGGCAGACCACACAGAGGCCTTTGCAAGCGGCGACCTATACTCATGGCTAGATTAGGTGCATATGAAATTCACAGCCTCATACCTGCCTCTAGGCAGAAGTCACTGGTGGAGAAAAGGCATTTGTTTTAGGGTTTGGAAAACATTTACTCAGCCTAGAGTTTACAGAGCAATTGTATGGCCTGGTTCTGAGTGGGAGTGAAACAGAAATGGAAGGAAGTGTATTTGCAGGTGGTTGTATTTTCAGTGGACTGTTCATTTTTAGCTTTATCCTGAACTCCAATTGTGGTAACTGCAGATTTCATTCTTGATGTTTCCCAGGTGCAGAATTTCAGAGTGGGATATCAGATATTTAGTGTGAAGGTACGTCAACGCTTGGATAAGAACACCTGGCAAAGTAAACAGCTGTGAAGATTCATCATGGAAATCAAAGAAGAAGGCACATCGGAAGAAGGCCAACATTTCCTTCCTCCCGCCCAGGCAAATGACACAGGGGACATTCAGTTCACGAGTAAGTGTGCATGTGCCCGCTCCGCTCTGCGACGCAGATGGGGTTCGCGGAACACACCGGGCTGTGCACCCACAGACACGTGTGTCCTGATGAATGGCATGGTATTGCCTCAGTGTGTCCTTTGCACTATTTATTGTATACATTGGAATTCTCAGGCCACGCTGCACCCCACAGCCTTTATCCGAGATGAGGTTGATTGTAGTTCATGGAATGGTTACACATCAAAGTTCTTGAATGCATATGAACATCCCTTTATTATATTTAATTGATCTACGTTTTTTATTAATATCTTTTCCAGTTAACAAGTCATCACTATGCATTAAGTGTCATGTTTACATGGGTCTGTACAGGATGGGGTGATTAAATCATGTGACTTAACGAGATGAAACACTTTTAAAGACATGTTTGGACACTTAACACTAGTGAACACTTAAAGATGTGTTTAAGAACACCTTCTATTTGGTATTTATATATTCTTACATCATTTTATTTTAGAAACATAGGTACTTTTATTCTCAAAGGCATTTAAGGTGAAAGCATTAGTAAAAAATATCACAGGACTCTGGTCCTTTACCACAAAGCACTAAATCACATTGTTGGAATAAGCATGACATTTGCTCATGATTTGCATTTGCCCATTAGAACTGATTGGATTTTGTGCCTCTAAAGTGATTAAAAACATGCTTAAAAACTTATGGTTTGGGGCTTTTAGTATGATTTTAGCTTTTTTTCGTCCAGAAGATTTATTTAACACTGTCAAATATATATATATATATATATATATATATATATATACATACATACATACACATATATATAACCTTATTTCATTTATGTTTCAAAAGTTATTATTAGAAAAAGGTACTTGTTGGATACATTTTCAATAAATTTGTTTGTTAGGGCTTGTGGCACAGCAGAGTTAATAATTAATGACATTTAGAAAATTCAGACTATTCAAATTTTACAATGTCCTTCTACTTTATTGAAAAGTCTAAACTTGTTAACCATAGCACTATTAAATGTCAGCGTGAAAAAAACATGCTATATGCAAAAAAATGTTAACTCCATGAATAAACATTACTTCTTTTTGCAAAGAGGTGGCTTTAAAGAATACATTAGTGACCAAATGTCAATAAATTAAAGTAGTGTCTGATGAAGGTAGCAGAAAATAAACAAGGAGAGTATTTTTTAATAATACACTTATTTTTGTTGCTACAATGATATTTTTTCCTATATTCCTATGTTTTATGTTTGCTTCTTTGGCTCTCTATGAGTTGTAATAAATATGGTCCCAGTTTTGAACCAAGTCCTCACCTGTTCTCTTTTGTTTATAAAAGTAATTCTTTTTATTAGTGGATATTGATTGTACAAAGGGCCTTCCATACATGTGTATGGTGATAGTTCCATACATGTGTATTATGTTGCTGGGTCATACCCCTCTATTACTCTTTCTTACCCTCTTTCCTACCTTTAAAAAATAATTTTTGGCCAGGCACCAGTGGCTGTAATCCTAGCTACTCAGGAGGCTGCGATCTGAGGATCTGCGATCTGAGGATCACAGCTCAAAGCCAGCCCAGGCAGCAAAGTCCGTGAGACTCTTATCTCCAAGTGACCACCAGAAAACCGGAAGTGGCACTGTGGCTCAAGTGGTAGAGCACTCACCTTGAGCTGAAGAGCTGAGAGACAGTGCCCAGGCCCAGAGTTCAAGCCCCACGACTGACAATAATAATAACAACAACAACAATAATAATTTTTATGGCTTGTGCATTCTCCTTTAGGAAGTTCCTGGTGTGTGTGACCATCAGGCACCAATCCCCTCCCACAAAAGCTCTTCCCCAACCCCAGCCTTCCCCCTCTAACTCCCCACTTCCCACGCTTGCTTTCTCCCTAGTTCATCTTCAGTCATTTAGCCATGCTGTCGTAGAAAATGAAATGGACACATTTACCTTTTCATTTGGTAGTTCCGTTTGGAGTATTACTTTTTACCACCAACCTTTAGTTAAGGATTTCTTCTAGGCTCAGAGCTGCTTGAAGGACAATCCATGTAAGGAAGCACAGGGGTGAGGTAACTCCTTTTAAACGTTCTACTGCCCTCTGCAGAAGCAGACACAGCTGAAAAAGAAGCTTTGTATTTGTCATGGCTTACAAACAGAGTATTTCTCCGATTGTTTATGGCCATAGAGCATGATATTCAAGCCTGGGACAGCTCCTGTGCCCTCCCAAGAGATAACTACTAGGACTGAAAACCTGAGTTCACTTACTCCTCCTGCCCAGCAATGTACTTACACATCCGCTACTGACACTGGCATAGACTTGGTAATGAGCTAATTTTTATAAAATCTGGACAACTAACCCCCATTATTTTTTATAGGCATTCAGAAGATGCCCAATGAGCCACAGCTGGAATTCATCCTTGGTAAGCAATTCTATCTTATTTGTATCCATAACTTTCAGAACTTATATAGTAGTTTACAGGTTAAATGTGCATTATTTGTAGCATGACATTTCACTTTTATGAATGCTGTTGTAGTTTTAAAAATCATCTTATAAAAGCAGTTCTTATTTTCCCCAATGGATTTTAATTCAGTATCTTACACTTGCTAGCAAGTGCTCTGCCACTTGAGATATAATTCTAGATCTTTTTTGTTTATGAGGTCTTACATTTTTGTCTAGGATAAAGCTTGGAACATGATCCTCTTACCTCCGTCCTCCAAGCAGCTGGGTTTACAGGTATATACTACCGTGTCCTGCTTATGTATTTGTTTGTTCATTTTGGAGATACAGTCTTTTCACATAGCTTGGGACACAGGCATGCACTATGGCGATTATCCCTGTTTTCCCTGACTTTGTAAGTGAAAAAGATGCTGCTAATGAGAGAGTTCTCTGCCCAGGCCAAGGGACTTCAGTGACAAACTTGCCTCTCTGCCAGATCCCGTGTCCAGGATTTTTCTTCTGCTACAAGGACTGCATTTTGTTGCTAGCGAATGTTACCGTGAATCTGCATGTGTAATTTTCTATTTGGGTAGGTAACTGGCCACACGTGGAGTTTTCCTTTGTGTTTCTTTTTATTTGTTTAATTTTTTATATTTTTTTAAATTGTGAAAATACTGTACAGAGGGGTTACAATTACATGGGCAAGGTAATTATCAAGCATTGTTGCCTCCTCCTTTGTTTCCTCTTTCCATCCCTTCCCATCTCCCACCCACCCCGACCCTCCACCCCACCCCCACCCCGACCAAAGTTGTAAAGTTGTTAAGTTCATTTTTTGACATAACAACTTGTACATCCCATTGTTGCAATGGGTCCACCTGTATCCCTGTTTAAACGATTTGTTTTTTCCCTTCCCCTCCACAAATTATACCAATATCAAATACAACGAAAGCAGAGTTTATACTGTGGAGGAGGGACATACGACACAACAAAGAATCATTTTATAAATACGTTAGAAACAATCGCAAGAAAGAGAAAACATTTGAATCCTTATCTTGGGGTTCATTTCACCTAACGTCAGCTTATCTGACCTTTTCTGCTTGTCTCAGCCATCCTTTGTGTTTCTTTGCTCCCTTTCTGTCTTGCTCTTCCTGTTGATTCTGTGGATGGCTCTTTGTCTCATGACAACTTCACATCAAAGGCAAACTTTCACTTGTTTAACCAGATTGAAGTTATCTGTCAGCTGTAGACATTTGTAACTTTGTCAACGGGTAGATTAAAACTGTGTGCCCTGAGTCTGGTCTGCCATTCTAGGACCGAGGGGGGAGTTGTGCTTGAATGACACATGACTGCAATGTGACCGGTAGGAAGTTAGTTGCAAAGGTGTATTTAAGGAGGCTAAAGATAGGGTTCATATGAACTCTGTAGAGAGGTTTTATTTCCTTTCTCTCATTGCTCAGAAATATTTTAAAATTATGCTTAAGTAGTCATCCGATGGGATTTCAATTCACTTTTTAAGTACAATGCTCCTTGATCTATAGCACCCCTTCCATTTTTCTCCTCCTCCATCTACCCCAATATATTTTATTTTTGAGTTTTACAAATGAACACATGCCCACATTCAACTTATTGTACAAAGATGAGATGCATTTTAATATTCCTATCTTTTCATATTAGTAGGGACATTTTCTCAAATTTGGGGGCCAAATTTAAATATGTTCATATACTATAGTGATTTTTAGTGGTGTGAAATTGCAATTATTGGAGGACCTAATTTCTTTAGTAATGATGCTGCAAACTTATATCCTTTGCTCAAAGTATTCCATTTTGAACTTTAACCTGTTGAGATAATGATTAGATACATTTTACATTTTGATTTTTTTTTTTACTTTTGTTACATGTATAGATTTTTCCAAAGTTTCCCAGGTTCAGAGACCAAAACGCAAAAAGTAAGGAAACTTTGATGGTCAGACTAATAAAGCTGTGCTGAACTTCCTTGTGTTTTATATGGAAAGAATTTGCTTTCAGAAGAAGTAGAGGCAGAGTATGCATGGGGAGGGGGTGTGACTTGCAGACTGGAACTCAGGCTTTTAAGAGAAGAAATTCCTAGTCTTTTACCTTTGTGATAGGGTTTCTGGAAAGAATACTTGTCAGAGCAGAGTGATCGATTTCAAAGCACAAGCACAGCCTTATTTGTGTGTGCTGAGAAGGGGGATGGATGAAAGAGGGGCCAGCCCTGGGCATGGAAGCTGCCAGGAAACCAGGCTGGCCAGAGAAGGTTCCCTGAGCCGGAGGCCTGCCTTCCACTGCAATTCCAACACGCGGTGGCTAGAAAGTCCAACTGTGCCGTTCGTTCCCAGAGCCTCGTCAAGTTCCGTAGCAACTCTGTCACTCACGTTTGCGGCTTTGAGTCATAGATCCACTCACTGAGTACAACAGTGAGAATGTATTCATAAGAAACTTCAGGGTTCCCTCCCACCGCTCGATTTATTCAAATATATGCTGACACTCAAAGTGCAGACATTTGTTATTTTATCAAATGGCAACAAATGGCCGATGAGTGAACGCCACATACTGACTAAAGAAAGTCACTTAGCGTCTTCGGGGAATTATAGTATTGATTTTTAGAAGACACATGCTCCAAGCTGTTAGGCTCTTTAGTGCTTGGTGAACTCAACTCTACCTTTTCTTGAAGTGTGTTTGTAAACTACCTGAGCGAGCGCTGATGCCACCACACCTTTCCGTCACTTTTGTTCCTTTTAGTTTTTTCTTTAATCTCCAAAATCCTTGGACTTCATCTATCTTTTATCGTTAACTTCTATTTGTTACCTAATGAACAATGAGAGAAAAATCACTTTCTAAAATATTGTTTAAGGGTAGACATAGTTATTTAATCAAAAGTAAAATAAGAACAAATTCTAGCGAGAAAAATAAGAAGCTCTTCCACCCCTATTTTTAAAATATTTTGTGTTACCTCTAAGTAGTGGTACACAGGGTTGTCATGTAACACGACAGTTTGTGAACATCATGTACCTTGATCACTGTCACCTCTTTCCCACCCCAGTTTTTTCTTTCTTTATTAAACTATTTAAATTAAACTATTGAAATTTTAAATGGCTTCATTTTTCAAACCCAAGTTACAACTACATATTCTAGGTGATATATTGCCTTGCTTTCGCTGTTTTCATGAAAACTTGTTTCTCCCTCGTGTAAGTGCTGTATAAAATCATTATGCCCTGCCCAAGCTTCCCTTTTACCTCTTCATTCAAGTAAATGCAGTAAGAGACACTTAGTTGAGTAAGATAATTTGCTCACAAGATCTTGATAGCTCTGTACAAGCATGTACTAAAAATGTATCTCATGCCCACTGCTAATCATATTTCTAATGGTTGACTGCATATAAATTAATTGACCCTTATATTCACATTTGTTTTCTTGTTTTTAATGTACTCATGGCCAACTGTCTTGTTTTCTTGGAAGGAAAAATGAAAACAAAGAGGAGTCATGTATTACTTACTTCCTAGTCCTTTGCCAATCTTGGTATGCATACAGAATTGGTGATCCCACACAGTTCATAGCAGATTAACTTTGTTTTTAACTCTACACATCCTATCCTCTGTACCATAAATCCAGTAGCCGTTAATGTGATGAACAGGGGCAGTGGACAGCACTGCTAACAGGACCTCTGTTTTCTCTGTGAACATGCATGCCTTAAAAACACAAGCCCCTTGGTTATGCAACCCAGGATACACTTGTACCAGATAAATAAATGCTAGTAATTAACTTTTATCACATTAGGTCTTGGTACAATGACAAAATGTCCTTAGGTAAGTTCTTTCAATTATCCCCCGATTTATAGTCACTTTACTTGTTAAGGTTGGGTCCAGGAAAATGCTGGCTCTAGCTATTTAGTTCTTAGATTATGCCTACTGATGTGGGATTTTATAGACAGAGACAATATATTTCTAATCATCCAGTTAAAGAAAAACAGTGATCAGTTTCTAGTGTTTGGCATGTGAAACTGTGCAGAATTGTTCCCCAAATGACAAGTCATATAGGAAACCAGTCTAATCTCTTAAGAGACACAGATTCTGCTACCTGCGTGTCAGGTCCATTTATATATTTTGAACCATTATAAATCAGACATTTCATGTTTCTCAAAAAAACCCAAACAACTTTAGAAGGTCTAACTTTATCAGCTCTCTGTATTCACATGTCTACTGTCTTACTGGCTGTGTTCTATAAATGCTGATAAGGCTCTGACATTTTTACAGCACCAGTTGGAGAATAGAAGGTTTTGGTTCATATTCCTTAATATTCTCACTTTTTACATGGTATGCTGGGCCAGCTGACAGGGCTACCAAACACAGAAAGATTGTTTTGTATTTACTTCAGTGATAAAAATAGTACTTCCCCATATAAGATGCGAGAGCTTCAGAGCAATAAGAGAAACTCCTGCCGAACAGCAGTCAGGCTCGTGGTTATTGTGCCCTTCATAATAAATCGATCTCTGTTTTCTTGATTCTTACAGTACATTACGTCTTATATAATGCACTATATTCCACTAAAATCAGTTTTTGGGAGGCTTCAAAGACAAGGCATTGTGCCAAGTCCTGAGGGATGATGGGATTGGAGATAAGCCTTTGATGCAACACCTTATATTTATTCTTTACAAGCTTGATGTCAAGTATACCTCACCATAATTCCAGCAGATTATAATATAAAGAGCAACCAACAATTTATTGACTGCTTTCTTGTTTGCCATATGGCGTTCTAAATAATTTACATTGATTAATTGCTTCAATTCACACAATTTCTTAATGAGTAATTGCTCTATTCTCAGCCCTATTTTACAGGGTAAGAAAATGTAGGCATGAGCTGATAATGAGTCTAAGACTTCAATTCAGGAATTTTGTTCCCAGAGCATGCTTAGAATCCCCAAAGTGAACTTTCCCTAAGACCTATCCACACTGAATGGCAGAATCA